TCTTAACCAGAGAAAGGTGAGTCACTTGAGTAATGAACTACACAGGATTACTCTAAAGCCCTTCCTCAGAATTTCTAGGGAAGGAAAAATCAGACTATTGTATATAAACAGTTTTCTATTAGCTATCAAATTAAAAAATATTTATATATTTTCGGCAGCTTCAGCTATGGCTATCTCTGCCCAACAATGACAGGAGGGCAGCTGTGACATTTTTCTTTCAGTGGTGGCACAAACCCTTCTGCTATCTCCTAACACTTTCAAAACCTTAATGCAGTAGGAAAAAAAAAGGGGGAGAGGAACACATTGCTTCCGCTTCAGAGCACGGCAGCTGAGGGAGCAGAGACTCTGGTCGAGGACGCTGCATTTCCCTTGCATGGTCCAGGCAGCATTGGTGGCACCAAGTGGCACTCACTCACCACGTGCCTCTTCCCTGTTGGAAAGTCCAGGTGTGCCAAAAGCAACCAGGTGCAAATTAAGAGGTGAATGGGAACAAACCAGTCCAAGTTAGCTTCAGCTGGTGCCTTGGCTGCTGGAGAAAACCCAAGTCCTGGATGACTTGCCCACAGACCATGTGCCAGAGCACTATGTGCCAGAGCACTAACTGCTGGCTGTGACCCTGCCTGGCCATCCTTCCGCTATTTAAAGATTTTGTTATAAATGGGTGTGCTGCTCAGCTAATGGAGAGCTTAAAATAAAAAAGTCCACGGTGATCCTTCAGCAGCAGAGATGGTGAGAACCTTAGTTTTAGGTGGCATCAAAGGGCTTTTCCATGGCTGCAGACCCCCATACTCCAAGGCAGCCTGGGAGTTTCTAGGTCTCCCTCTGATGGCTTATTTCCACCCCAGGCTGGGGTGGACATGACCCTGCCAAGCAGTTTTTTTGGAAACTCCCCTTTCCCAGTGCTGCAGTGGTCACCCTGCTTGTCCTGGGACCATGTGATGTATGGGGAGGGCAGAAGGTACACACAGCTGCCAGCAAGGGTGTCTCACCAACACCCAACGAACCCCCTCCACCGGCACAGGGTGCTCCCCACCAGGCTGCCAGAAAGGTTTCTCAGGGTAGGAGAAGCAAGGAGGGACAGAAAATTAGGGATGGGGGGGGGACACACAATGGGGCATCTCCTGTCTCCCACCCAGGCACCTCCACTTGGTGAGGTGATAACAGTGGTTTGGGGAGGAGCAAGCGTGCAAGCCGAGAGAAGGCTTTTGGGGATGGCTCAGGACAGAGGCACTACTTCAACTCCAGAGCACCACAAGCCCCAGCTCCATACTGAAAACAGCCCTGACACGGTCTCCTCTTTCAGTCAGCTCTTTCTGGAGGTCCTCAAAGGGCAGCGGGGAGTCTACAAACCCCTGTCCACTCTTTGCTAGGTTTTCTCCACGCCCCTGACATGCAGCGAGGCGCATATGGCTTCGGTCCTCCCCAAGAGCATCTAAAGACTTAGCATCATCTTCAGCCCTGCTGAATCCTCATCACACCACTTCAGCTCAGGTGTCCAGTCACCTCGCTGCCTGCCCATGAGCGTTGAGACCGGGACCTTCTCCCAGCCTGTCCCACCAGCCAAAGCCTGGTCAACTCCAATGACCCTCAGCCAGCACCCACGACTTGGGGACACGTGGAGTATCCCTGCTGCTCCCATTCCGGAGAAACCCTGTCTCAGTGGGGAGATGGCTCTTGAAAAATAAGATTAGCTGCCTTTGCAGCAGACCTGTTAGGTGTATTCAGACCTTAATTTGCCAGCTCCGCTCCAGCAGTCTTGTGGTGCATAGCTGCGCTGTTTTTCTCTCCTGCCGAGGACTATGTTTCTGGTGGTTTTGAATTTCACTACACTGCAAAAAGGCCCTGCTCTTGTTTCTCCAGATCGTTCTGGTTCTGTCCTCTTCCATCCACTCATTCATTTTAAAGGGGCAGGGGAGAGGACGTTTTTCCACTGTTGTTACAGCCTGCATCTTCCCATCGCTCCCTAAGGTCAATATTAAATACTGACATTTGCTTACAAGCCTTTTTTCGCCGTACACAATGTTCAGTCTGTTTCTTTGACCTGGACTCCAAAGCCATGGTTTACAGAGCATGTACAGAAGACCCGTTTTCCTCGTCTTGTTTTTCCAGTGGCTGTACAGACACAGCTTAGTGTGATCCACTTGCTCCTACCCACCTTTTTTTTTTTTTGTAATTCATAAACTGGTAATTATGCCAAAGGATGTTTGTTTTACATGATCTGCTTTATAGAAGTTTAAGAATTGCCAAATGCGCTTATATCTGGAGCATCCACATGCTGGTATATTTCCCATTGAAACTGTTCTCAGTATAAGTTAACAAATACCATAGATAAATGGGATGGGGGAATAAGCAAGAAAGACTTGTTTATACAGCTATCAAAATCCGTGCCAAGTTTGGGAACGCAGAATAGGATAAAACCTCTTCAACTCCATTTTAGTCCATACCAGGATTGCACAAACTATCCTATTAAATAGCCAGGCAACAACCTGGAGGAAAGGACTAAGATCCCTGGGTCAAATGACATTTTGGAGGGGTCCTGGACAACAAGGCCAGGCTGGGCTCAGATACCTGAACTCCCTGCTCCTTGCAGGGCAGAGGACACGGGTGGGGGACTGCCAGCTCCTACCTCGGCCAGCCACGGGCCGACAAGGCACCAAACCTAATACAACTCTGCTGCCTTTCCCTCCACACCACTTCCCTGGCAAGGTTGGAAGGGTCTCGACAGTAAGTGCCTGTGCTGGCACATTTGCACACCCAGCCTTCCTGAGAACTATGGGAGGGCAGGGAAACACGAGCTTCTGCAAGCAGCCAAGAGCCCCACACCATTCACATGAAACCATGCAGGGCAAAGCCATGCCAGCGGGACCTGGAGGGGGCAGTGGCCGAGTCAACCACCTACGTGTGAGGGATCCAGTTATGCCTTCCGAGGAAACGGGTGTTTCTTACTGCTCTGGTCCTGCCCACATATTTCTCAGTGCACTCAGATCTTGCCTTGGGGCACTCACTGCTATTTGATTTATCCAAAGGGATACATCCCCCTCTGCTCCTTTCTAAGCCAGCATGCCACAAGAACCTGCAGGCACCAGGGCTTGGCTGCACACTGGCCTTGACTGCAGCATCCTCTGCACACTGGCCTTGACTGCAGCATCCTCTGCTGCTTCATCCTCATCACTTCCCACTCCTCTTCTCCTTGCTAAGGTGACCAGCCTGGAAGCAAAAATAAATCCAGGAAGGAACCTAGGCTGGTTCCCTCACTTGCCCTCTCTCCTGTAATCTTCTCTACCCCTGGTTTTACCTGGTGCCTTATCGCATCTCCCCACAGAGGCACCAGGCAACAGTGGTCACCTCCCCCCCCTCCCCGAGGCCTCCCAGTGAAGCCTGAACTGAAGAGGCGGATGGCTGCAATCCCAATACCTCCGCCAGCTCACCCAGGCCTTGGCTGACTGGATGGGCAGCCAGCAGACCAACAGGTCACCTCCTCCCTTCTGACATGAGGGTGCACATCTGCATCTTCAAGGCAGCCACCTCGCAACGTAGTTCTGGTTCAATCCACGTGTGACTTCCTGCTGTGCGCTACCAGAAGCCTGTACAGGAAGACTGCGTTATAAACTCCATCTGCCCTCTACAACTCTGCAGATGGCCCGCATTAAGGGAAACGTGCATTTTGCCTACAAAACCCAATAATATGAATTTATAGTTTAACTCCAAGCTGCAATCCAGTGCCAAAGCTCAGCAAGTAAGTATAAGACAAAGGCTTAAGTCACCTGCAAGGGCTCAGGCCACTTGTACAAGAGGAGCTTGCCTGCTGCATGGTGCAACCCCCTATTCTGGAGGAACAGAGGGTTTCACCAGGAAGAGCTGTCACACCCACACATGACATTGTAAGGAAGAGAGCAAGCCACATAGGTGCCAGTGAGTGTAGCTATAAGTTATTTATTCTGCAAAATAGAGGTATCTTCTATGGAGTTGAACACTGGAATCACAGCATTAAGAATCGAGTCGTGGAAACATGACAGCGCACACACACGCAGGCACACACGCATACACCTACACACCCGTGCGCACACGCACATAGCCTTTGTACAGGCCCCTATTCTTGCATTATCCGGAGGGAGCCCCCTCTGCAACTTTATTTGCAAAAACCTGCAGCGAGGGTTGCATTCAAGACCCCCTCCCCAATTCACAGGGCTTCCAAGGGAAGGAGGTTGGTCAGGATTAGGTGCATGGCCCTGGCAACACATGCGCAGAGCATGCTGCTCATGCTCCCCAGCCCAGTGTTCAGCACATCCCGGATAGGAGTTAACTCTTGGCAGAACACAGCCCTCAGTGGAGTGCTCTCATTCCCGCCTCAGTCTTTGCTCACCCAGCCAAGCGCAGGGTGTCTGCAAGACGCACATTTCCAGGTTAGGACACAGTCAGTGCGCCCTGCTCGCCATGGTCCATGTTCCAAAGCCGGTAAAACTCTGCAAAATCCACATAGGGCTCCACACGCCCATCTTCATCTGGCTGGAGCGAGTGGGTGGGTCGGGAGCGGAAGAGACCCCCGTCTGAACTTGAGCTGCTACTCTGTGTGTGAGTATTAGTGGACTGGAGTGTCACAGTTGGGCTTTGGCTATGAAGAGAAAAAGAGAAAGAACACAAACATCTTTATTTTTCCTCATCTGATGCTTTGGACAAGAAAAGCACCAAAACAAGTGCCAGCTTCTTCACAGATCAAGCTATCCATAGCAAACAGGTAAAAGAAGTTGCAGTCTCTTGCTCTATCAGAGCACGAGAAGTGTTAAGAACTGCTTGGAACTGATGAACGCCAAAGATATCTGATGCACCTTTAACTGGAAGGCCTTAAGTACAACGAGGTGCCTGAGGAACAGAGGAGAGGAAGCAGGGGGAAAAAATTAAAATAAAACAAAATAAAATTAAAAAAAAAAAAGGCATGCACTCTGCTGGTCTCTTTAAACCCATACAGTATGTGCTTTACAGGAAGAGTCTGGCAGCAAGGAAAGCTACTCTTGTGTGACCTGCGTTGCAGCCAAAGCAGCTCTAGTGCATCAGCCTCATTGTTTCTGGAGCTACCAGAACACAATAAATATAGAGCTTCTTCACTTTGCAGTGTGTACACATGCCACCCCATGCCAAAGGCTGAACCTAAACCAGAACCACTGACTTGTATAATCCTGTAAAGTGGATCCAAATCAGATCCAGTTCTTACCTTCACACTTTTTCCTACCCTGGCCTCTGAGCAAGCCAATTTGTGCAGCACAGCCTCGCCAGTGGCCTTACATGTGACATGCATAGCACCTCTCCCTTATTAAAATGAAAGGCACCCACACTCCCTCCACGCACAGCACCCAAAACACTTGATACACAAGATCCAAAGAGAAGCGCTGCTCTCTGCCAGAGTGCCCTCTGCGAACAGCAGCAGATGCTGCTCCTGAGGCATCTTCCCAGAGCTGACTTCAGAGCTGCTCACTTTACTCGTTCCCACTCCTCACAGAATTGCTTTCCAGCTAATGCATTATGCTGGCTGTCAATGCTGCAGTCAGGAGGGCAATGTTCCAGATAAGGGAATGATTGACAGGTAACTGACAGGCGTCTCTCTGCTTTTCAACCACTTTACACAGTGTGAGGTGCTGTGGAAGACTGTGGGTAGCAAGAGAGCAGGACATTTACTTAGTGAGGGTAGGGGTGGCTTCATCCAGAGTTGAGCTGCTGTGGGCACCGTTGACCATCTGGCCTTGGGAAGGCATGACAAGAGACAGCGTGACACTCGTCTTGCTTGTGCTTTGGGAGCTGGAATATGGCACAGAGACTGGGTAGACACGGCCTCCTGAGACGGGAAAAAACAAGAATTATAATCTGCAGTTGAGACATGAGCAACTGGGAGGTACACAGCAGCAAAAAAAGTCAAAGGAAGGGCCAAAACCCCCAAGAATTTATATTAAACTGCCTTTCTTAGATGATGCACTGTATTCTGTCAAATTACCACAGACTCTAGGTCTCAGAAGCCAAATATTCCTTTAATAAGAAAATTCCTTCTACACTGAGTATCTGTTCTCCCAATGTTAGGTTAGTGCTGGATCGGTCAAGAAATCTTATCTCCCACTCTCCATTTTGTTTCATTCTCTCCCCAATATACCTTGTGTTGGTGTCAGCGTGGGCTGGCTCATCTCACCCAGGGGATACCCAAAATTCCTCACAAGCAGTGTCATGTCTTCATGCCGGGGACAGAACTTGGACCGTTCCCCACCACTGGCAAAAGTGTCACAGTGGATCCGCTTAACCCGGTCAACTACTGCTTGCGCCACAGCATCCAGCGATGTCTGCTTGGCAAACTCTGTGGCTATCATGGCTGCGATTTCCTGAGCCAAGAAGAAAAAAGAAAGAAAAAAAAAAAAAAGAGAGGAAGGATGTTTAGGAGATTTTGGAGGAAACCTTTTCCAGCCATCCAACCTCAGAGCTTTTATGCCAACTCATTTGACTGCAGTGCATACCAGTCTTAGGCACTGATATGCGCCCTTGTGCCCTGAATCATCCCATTGCCTTTAATGGGTTAAGGGACAGGCAACTGCCTAGAAGAACTGGCTTGGCAAAGCAGGTCCCATATTATTACAGACTGGAATGGGGTGGCACAGGCACTCAACCCAGCCAGCACTCACAGGACAGATGAGGAGGAAAATCTGTACGAGAGCAGCTGACACTGTGGGAGTGGGTCAATAGCCAAGGGAACCTTTCCCCATGAGTAGGCTCACCTGGTTGGCCTGTCCAGGCCCATGAGCTGCTTCCAGCGCTTTGTAGAGCCCTTCAGACATGAGTACCAAGAAACCAGTCACCCCATCCAGCGAGTGCCCTCCGTGGATTTCAGGCTCTGCTATGATGGGCTTAGATTTCGCAGCACTGGAAAAAGATGGCGTTATTTAGCATTTAATGGTGACACAGTAGGTGAGAATGGAGGGTCATGAAGAAAAGGAGGACTTGAAATTACAAAGTTAAGTTTTTCTGACCTGAGCAGTTCAATATCAGTATAGCCGTATTTGACTTTGTAATCTCCAATGCGCCGAGTGCTTTCCTGCCCACGAATAGTTCCCACTTGTTTTATTTTCCCTGCATCCAATCCTGCCAGATTGAAAAACAAGTTTAACTGACTTTGGGCAATTTGCAGGACTTCCCCAAATTACACTGTCAGGAATAAGAAGAGAAACATCCACATCTAAAAAGAACTGTAAGACAAAACGGATCGCCAAAGAATCATCAGGAGCCCAACAAGAAGGAAAGGAAGAGCCGTTTGCTCTGTTCCAAGGCACACTTTCCTATTAATTGTAATCTGGGAAGGGGAGAGAAGGAAAGAGATGCACACAGCCCAACATTCACACTCTGAATGCAACCGTTGGCCCTAAGACAAAGCCCACATCCTGGTCCAAAGCCACCAGCGGCAGCTGGCCTGAACGCACAGGCATTCACTGAAAAGACAGGGAAACATCTGCACCTGTCAGCTCTGGACTGCGCGATGGGAGGAGGAAGGCAGGAAGGGGGAAAAACATATGTGAAGGATTCTGCTTTATCTTGCGCCTATTATTGATCCCTGCTCCTGAACTCCACATGATGATTTCACTAATATGCTTGTTTGCAGAGGGAGAAAAGGACTATCTACAAGAGGCATGGAATTTGCTCAAGTGCTCAAATAGGTGTTGGCTACTCCTAAAAGAAGGACAATGACCAAACAAGTATTTAAATAAATTTAAGGTGATATACCTCTGCTTCAGTGTACAACTCAGATCTGGCAGGGGCTAGGAAGGAATCCCATCTTGAAGAAGGTCCTAACAGGGACTATCTGGATGCAGCTACCATTTGAGACAGAACTCAGAGCAGATGAGCCACTTACCCCGTCTGTTCTGGCAATTCTTCCTTTCTAGTTACACCTAGAGCTAACAGGCAGAAAACGTTATTTTGAGATTTTTATCTAGGGATGACTGTCCTCAGTATAAGGTGAAGGCAGGGGTCCAACTGAAACTCTCCCTCTGAGTCAAACTAACCCTCACTGCACAGATGGCTCCACACCTATCCCAGCAGTAAGCCACAACTCTGCCATCTGCTGCAGACCAAAGCTGACTCATCAACACAGCCTGGCTCATCTGCCAGCTCCTGGCAGGGGGATACATGGTATCGACAGACACAAACGCAGGGAGGCTCGCAGCACACCAGAGAGGTTATGTCTAAATCACAGTGACTCTCCTGGAGCACTGAAAAAGCCGCAATGTTCTGGGTGAAGAGCCACAAAGGCATAAGACCTCTCCCTCCCTTCCCCCAGAGAGGTGTGACACAGGCATCATCACAACAAACACTATCCCCACTACCTCTTATCACTATGCTTCAACACAGCCCTACAACAACCTCTGTTGGGCCCCCAAAACAGCCTGTGCACACTAGCTTGTTCACAGGCGCTCTCTGCTGCTGCGGCTGCCAGCAGGAGAGCCACTGCTGCGCTAGGTTAAGGTCAGTCTATCTCGCACATCCCTGTTCCACTCTGGACTGTAGCTAAATTCTGCATTTTTGGCAGCAGAAAGGCAGTCAAAGGG